CATGCAAGTCACTTGACCTTTTGAGCTGGTACATTAATAACTATGATAAATACAGGAGTCAAATGCAGTCCCTGATAATGGACTTAGCTTGGGACACCACATTCTCCCTAACACAGATCTTTGGTGACACTTCCTACTTGACCTTGCACATTGCTCCATCATGAAGCAACTCAAGAAACTGCTGCTGAAAAGCCACAAGCAAGGGACAGAACTGAAACCTGGGCTCAGAATGCTGCTGCCACGCTCCCAGTAACTTCCCTAATGCATGTTAATGTGAACTAATACATAGTTAGTCCAATTTTCAATGCAGCTTATATTTATTTTTCATATAGAACTTCTGACTTCCTTTTTTTCCACTGTAGAAATTAGAAGTTCCCACTTAAAGAAAGGGAGTTCATTTACATCAAAATACAAACTGTTCCACAGTGGTAATTAGTGGTGTTTGGAAAATGGTCTAACTTGGAATGATCCCAGATCAAAACTGCAGAGCTAACACGCCTGTCCTTAAGGGTCTTTAAACTGTGTTACTTTGTAAGGTGAAGATAAAACGAACATCGTCAGATAGGTTTTCCCTCTAAATAGAAGGGGCAAACATCCTTACTTTGTTTTGCAAGCAATAGACAATAAAATATCTTCTCAAGTTTTAAACATTCTCACTGCTGTGAATATTTGTAATTAAAAGCAAAGGAAAGAAAGAACATGTGGTCTGGGAACAATGAAAATAAGCCTTCATCTCAGTAATAAACCATTTAAAATATTTTGTGTCAAATTATGTTTTTTCATCCCTAGCACAAAGGCTAGATGCAATAAACAAAAAAACTCCTACTAAGACAGACAGCTAATTGCAATAACATTGTGAGGCTCAGGGATTTAATTTAGGGTGCTCCTTGGGCTCACCTGGAATGTGCCACTTAATTACCTTCAATCTTGCAGGTATACATGGTAAAAGATGTTCACCTGCTGTACAGTTTTTAAAGAAATGGTCAGACTGGTCAGTCTTAGCTGTCCTATTACAGTGTCCACTGAGATGCGGCTAAGCATCTGGAGATGATGATGGACACTGTGCTTGTATACTCTCTGATAACGGAGATAATTGTGTCCCTGGGTTATTCTCATGTAACAGTATAAAGTTACAAACTTTTCAGTACGTGCATTGCTGTTCATCCGAAGGAGGGGGTAGAGGTGTACAGCCAAAGCCTAGTGTCTGCCTAAATTTTCCTCCACGTTTAGGAAGGTGAGCAATACTGCAGTTTATAGGCAGTTGTTATCTCTGAGATAGTAGTGATGTGAGGAGTAATAAGGCCTTGTATAAAGGAGAATTCACGTCATTAAAAAATTACCTGTTTTTCAAAAGTTTTAAGGAGGGGGGTGGTGGTGTTGCTGTATCCCATGCTTTTTTTTTTTTTTTTTATTTGAAGTATAGAAATCTCCTGCAAACATTTTTCCTTAAAATTTCTTATGATTTTAATTGGTGTCCAACAGTCTAAGGGTTGCAGTTAATGGGGCTATACCTGACTGGCGACCAGTCACCAGCAGTGCTCCTCCAGGTTCAATTCTATGGGCAGTACTCTTCAATATAATTAGAATATAATTAGAATATAATATATATTTTCTTACCCCAAAAATGCTTCTGTCCTGAAGCAGATTTAGCCTTTACAGATCCTCTGCAGTTTCATAGATACAACATCTCCCCTAAAACAGGTTTGTTGTCTCTGCCATTTTTCTGCAGTTGGCCAGGTCTGTGAAATTCTAAGAAGTTATACAGTATCTGGGAAGGCTAAATCTGCCTATCCACTTTAGGACAGCAACATTTGTTGTAAGAAAGATGTATGTTGATATTTTTTTAGTAAGGTTTAAAACCTTTTCATCTTCCGTTATATTTTAGTCCCGTTGTTTGAGGCTAAATAGGATTTCAGTTGAAGTGGGTTTACCAGTCAGCACACACCGGTGAGTGACAGATTCCCAAAGAGATTGCCCAACCAGTTGACTCTGTGGCTCAGTTTCTATTCTGGTAAACTACTCAGAGGCAGGGTATTTAGTTTGGGTTTTGGCTTGCCACTGTTCATGTTGTTAAATAGTTTGACTGACACCTGACACAGCTTTGGCTCAGACCCCAGCACTAACCAGGAAGGATTTCCACTGGGCACCTTGGCAGGTTCTTACTGCAAGAAGCACAAAATGCAGCCATGCAGCACAGAGATATCCATGGGGAGATATTATGAAGTCAATCACCCAGAGGAATTTTTTTGGTGGGTTTTACTTGCTTTCCTTGCTTTTCCTTGGGGTGAAATTGTCACTCCACTGAGGTGAAAGACTTGCTAGGGATTTTAGTGAGACCAGGATTCAGCTGGTGGACCTGGATACACTTCAACTCATGGTTGCAACATACCCCATGCTTCTCATGTCTGCATGGAGCCTAAGTGTGCAGTGTGAAACTTCTGTGGTCTGTGATACTGGGCATCTGCCCTGGAGCACAGAGGTTTGACTAAGGACGACCAGGCCTCGAACACAACAAAAAATGTTCCTTCCATTCCTCCTATCTTTTTGCATTTCAGAAGATTTTATGATATTTTTCGTTTTTCCTACCCCCAGAGGAGAATGGCCTGCTGAGCAATAATTCCGTTTTGGTAACTCATCCTAGCAATTTCCAGTAGCAGCATTTCTTGTGTGTGTAGTCGCATTTATACTGAAGTAAAGAATTATCTAAATACACCATATTTTAAATAATTTCAATTGATGCTGTCAATTTTTATAATGGATGGTAGAACAGAAAAACAATAGCCCATCATTGTACCAATGTAAAAAATTAGCTGTGATAGGGTGAAAAATTGAGCATTTTTGCTATGATTTAAGACATTGGAGACAAGGTTTTTCATATAAAAAGTAAAATTTCACCCATAAATCAGTAAAAGCAGCTTTTAGACATGTGCTCTATACTTTCATTAATAACACTTTTTTATATTGGTTGAGTCTCTTTCGGTTTTGTAATTAACTTATCAAGGAGTAATGGTCTAATTTTAAAAAGCTGACTGGATGACAGAAATACTATTTGTTCTAAATTGAAAATATTTCAGTATCTGCCAAGATTAGATTTCTTTAAATTACCCTTTAAAAACATTGATTTCTAATACCGTATTTCCTTTTCTCAGTAAAATAGAAATATATGGTCAGAGGAAGCTGTTCTTAAGGAGGCATTGCTGAGAAACAAAGCCATTCCAGTAATATTAATCCCTCTCCAATGAGCTGCCAAAAATAAAGTCTCCATTGAATGCTACAAGTTTGGTTGGTAGTCATTTTTTATCAGCCACCAGACTGAGAATCTGAAATTAAATGTTTAGCAATATTTGTATAAATGAAGAAGCCCCCAGCTCTATACCTTGACATAACTAGGGCACTCTAACATAATAACTTTCTCAAGATTAATTCTCCTCCAAATTAGTGCCTGATAAAAACATATGGCATGGTGTTTACCAGGAGAAAGAGCTCTGGTCTCCTACATAAGCTTGTTGCATTCATGGCATAAGACTGATGCCATTTGAATGATGCCAAATAATGCCCTATGGATATTTCATAGCCTTTAATCAAAGCAAGATCAAGCTAGATGTAACATCTAAAATATCCCGTACTTGTGCTAACCTCAAATTATGTGGTTGATATTAGAACCCTCATTAAAGTCATTTACTCTGTTTGGAAAGTAGAATTTAAAATGTCTGTACTTGGCCAGACCAAAGATCTTCGTGGCTCGGTTCCCTTTTCCCCACAGTGGCCAATTGTGGGTGCTTATGAAAAGCTCATTAGACATACAGATTGATTCTTTCCAGGGCATATCCTGTAGCTCCCAATAATTCCAAGCTGGAGATTTCTTTCTAGACCACTGCATAATAGTCTTCAATAGGCTTGTCTCTAAGATTACTCTGATTCCTTTTTTAACCCTTTCCCATTTTTATTACCATAACACTATGTGTATTCTACATTCCATTCTCCATTATGGGAAAAATTACTTCCTTGTGTTTTGATATGCCAAACTAGAATTTTACAGACTTCCATTCAGTTCTCTTATTGTGAGAAGCTGTACATGATCGTTCCCTATATGCCCTAATACCACTCACCATTTTATATATTTCTTCCATAGTATCCTCTCACATGCCCTTTCTCCAAACAGAAACATCTTGGTCTGTTTACTTTTCATTTACTATCTTCTCAGATGGAAAGGTTTCACAGTCTTGATCATTCCTCTTGCTCCTCCTTGTAACATAGAAAAATACAAGATAGAGAAAAGTAGAGTGCTATGCCAATGTTTTCCTGTGTAATCTCAGTTTCCTTCCTTGTGGTTTACCTTTGAACTTTGACTATTTTAATCAAACTGGCCAAAAGGATTCCATGGCCTCTTTCTTGAATGGTAGTGATGTTCAGAAAACGTTAGCCTGCATGGAAAAGTTAGGCTTTGTTTAAGTTAACCTAATTTTGCTAGCTTTTTTCTCATTCAGCAATTTGTAGTGTCCTTCTGCAACACTTTACAGCTGGCTTTTGATTTTAGTATCCCAAAGAACTTATTGTAATCATTAAGCCTCATCACTGTATCATATTCTTCACCTTTTCAGCATCACTTAGTAATAAAAGACCAATAATAGTGAAATTGTAACAAATCTTTATTGTGAAGACAGTTGTATTTTTATCCACTGCTGCACAACTTTTAAACAGTTACTAAGCCACAGATTTTGTCTCTTGCTTCATCAGAAAGTTAATTTTTTATGAGCCTTTACTGAGGGGCCTGGTCAAAAGTGTTTTGAAAACCAAATTGAACTCCTCTCAGCTCCTTTTTTGCTTTCATACACGCATCATAAAGGACTCTAATAGATTTTTGAAGTACAACTTCCCTCTGATAAAGCTATATTGACTCCTTTTATTCTAGCCACTTACTGCAACACTAGTTCTAGTTTTGGTTACAGTTTTAGTTTATTTTCTTGATACAGAAATCAGCCATACTGGCTTATGCTTACCAAAAATATCCCAAAGTCTCCATGCTCAATTCTTCTGTTACCCAAGCCAATTCAAGCGGCACACCACAAAAAGCAATGCAGCAATTTCATATTTCAGCTACGCTGGAATTCAAGAATAGATACTGTCAAGTCCTGGCAATTTCCACAATTCAGTTTTATCAATCTGTTCTAAGAGCTTTTTCAGTGAGAGATTTTAACAAGTTATCTGCATTTCTGCATAACCTTGTGTGCTGCCCCTGCCCCCTTGCTGTGTGTTGGTACTGGCTTTCGTGGGGCTGTGTAATCAGGAAAGGGACCTGCCTAAGCAGAAAACAAACACTATGCCCCCTCCAAATCAGCTGGTTTTGCCAAATAGGGTGGCTGATCCGTCTGTATGTAACTGTAGGACCACTTCTGCTGTTGGCAGGTGTGGGGCATAGTGGAAGGATACAGCAAAACTGATTGAGACCAGCCTAGGCTAATTGTGAAACGGCATCCTGATACTTGAGCCTGAGGCAGTTTGCTGTCATTATCATTTTACTCATTTATGTGCATGAGGGATTTCCACAAAACCCCATGCCAGCATAAGATTTAATGATACTGTTGAGAAAGGAGATGGAGTGATGGTCTCTGAGTGTGTAGGAAGCCTCTCTCACCAGCAACATGACATACAGAGAATGGCTCCTTTTGCCATCATGGGTACAAAAGAAATACATTTATTGAAGAGCTGAGACAAGTGGGAACTCTGCCCATCCAACTACCAGTTCAAGCAAGATCAGATGAGACGTTTTGAATGGGATTTTTTTTTTATCAGCATCTTCCTGAAATCCAAAATAAGAACTGAAATTCACCTTAGCAGAGCTTTCAGAGGTTATGTGGATACAGAGAATAGGCACTCTAGCAAAAGTCTCATTCTACTTTGTAAATGTTTATGTGATTTCAGTTGCAAAAAGAAACACTACTCTTCCCACTTGCCTACAAAGGGGTTCTGCATTAGGACTATCTGTAAATATCAGTTAATCTCTCATTTCTTCTTCTTCTTATAGGTCTGTGTATATATATATATATCTATCTTTCCTTTAAATCACATATGCAAACATTTATACTTCTAAATTATGTAAATAGAAGTATAAGTGATGCTTGCAGAGAGGGAAGACTTGAGTATACTAATAAAACTTCTTTGATGGACAATAATGGGAGTACACGAGAATATGAGGGTTTTTCGTTGGCAAAACAAGACCATATGCAGGTGGGCTGTAGCATATCTCAGCCAGAGTGTTTTAGATCATCTTAAATGTGCAGAAGGTTTTAATGGAGCCTCAGATTCCTCTACACACTGAACTCTTCTCATCTATTAGGCCCGTTGTAAGGCCCTGATGAAGCTCAGCTGCCCACAGTTGGGCTGTGTCCTTTGGGCTTGCAGGATACTAGAAAGTCATAGTTCAGTAGAAAGAAGGTTCATGAGAAAGCTCATCAGATCTACTGCTAGTAATGTTGTTAACTTGGGAAAGCACTAAATGGAGTGGGACTTGGTCAGAAGTAAATATTTAATTTCTGTATCCTGCCTTGTTATTCCCACGGTACACCCAGAGATCTGTGTTATGATTTTTGTCCCTAGTGCAGGAAGAATGGTGTTCCTGAGCTGAGGGAACAAAACATTGCTCAAACTCCACGTTCCTATCAGGTCTAGGGAGGAAAAGTCCCATAATCTGCTTTCTCGGTTTTGTTAATGCTCTTTCATCTTCAAATACATTGTTAAATTTCTTAAATTGTGAAAATACATTCAACAGTTATGATTCAAAAACATTTTGCATTTTTTGGGAGGGGGAGGGCAAACTTGGACTTTTGTGATGGTACAGACAGATGGTGTCCTTTAAGAATCTGGTGAGATTATACAGCTTAGAAAATCTATTACTTTAAGTATCTAAAAGAATACACAGTTGCTGAGGTTTTGAAACTGCTCTGTCCTAATATCACAACATTCTTGCAGTGAAGGTTGATCCCATTTATGGTCATGTAGTGTGTGTCCAGATAAACACTAAAAGTGTAGAATACTGGTTTTACAAACAAGGTAAGAACAAGGACTCCGTGGCAATTTGAGCAATGGAGAAACAATTTTGCAGATAGATTCCTGAATCACTGACATTTTACATTTTCTCTCAGGAATATTCCAGTAAAATCTCCTAAAGTAATCCCTAAAACCACATGGTATTTTTAAATGAATATATGAATAAAATAAAATAAAAAAAAGAAATCTGTATTTCTGTAACACCTAGGAATTCTAGACATGAATGATAACCCAATCATAATAGAAATTACTCTAAATATGAAGCAATATGACAGTGTTCTTGGTCACGAAGGTTTTGCAATTTAGTTATTAGGAAAAAGAGAGGTAGATACAGAGAGAGAAAGAGATGGTATTTATGAAGATGTGGCTACTATAGTAAGTGTAAATCCCAGAATCTCTGCAACTAAACTCTGGCTATGATAAGCCTGTCCTGACAGATACTTTTGGAGAGTGACTGAAAGAAGGATAACATTTAAAATGGCCTACCTCACATGTTTGTAAAGGATAATTCAGACTTCAAGACTAGTGAGGAAGAAAGCATTTTGAAGCATGAGTTGAAACTCAGATAGACAAAGTATTATGGAAGAATTATCAGAGCAAAGATAGGAACCAGCTTCCTTGAAAACCAGGAGAGGGAACAAAGAGCTTCTCCAACATCTGAAACCAATCTTTCATTAATAAAGCTATGGGATGAGAAAAGTCCAAATAAGTTTCAATTGTTCAAGAAGACTGAACTATTTTAGGGATAACTGAGGGGAAGAATCATCCAGTTTTACACACTGCATGGATATTAGGACCCTGAGAAGACCAAAGGTAATACATGAATGAAGAGCTGATTAGTCATCAGTCAGGATAACTTGCAAGAAACACATACAGCTGTGGTTTGTTTATGGTAGGAGACAGAGAACATTATCAATGAGGTGGATAGGTCAACTGGCCAAGATTTTAGTTTGGCCAGAAAACAGATCTGGAATGAAGAGGAAAATGTCTTATTCCATCCATGCACATTCAGTTAGCAACTAAATGTTTCTCATCTAAACTAGATGCAAAGCTGCATAAATGTAACCTCTATATACACCTAAAGGTGTTGAGACAAAAGAGGCTAGTGTGTCCATCAGGTCTCTTTCCACTGAGCTATGATCCTGATGTATTCAATAGCCACACCTGCCTGACCATCACTGCACTACAAACCAGACTTAAAAAGGAAAGAGTAGAAACTGGGAGAGGAGCTTAGAGAGAGTGTGCAGGAATTGCCTACTATTAATTGATCCTGATTTAGAAAGCTACAAGGCAGTCTTGAACTGACAGGAGAGACTTCAGCATCTTGTGGTTTAGGTCAGGCTGGGCTAAATGCAAACATTAATTATTATGCAATAATTGGATATGTGGGAAGGAGTGTGGCTATTTATCACCTTTATTAAAGGGTGATTAATAATGCAAAGGACACTACAAAGTTACAGATGAGTGGCTATCTCTACTTCCCCTTTCCTTGCTGACAGGACCAGCGGTTGTCAGTAATCAGGATGGACTAGACTTCTCAATAGGTCAAAATCTGCCCTCCGGAAGTCCAGCGTAGAGGTTTTATTGTTGTTTCTCCTTGAATCTCTGAGTATTGAAAATTCTCTTATTTCATGATCACTATTTCCTAGGTGGCCTTCAACCACTATATCTCCCACCAGCTCCTCTCTGTTTGTAAACAGCAGGTCTAGCGGGGCCTTACCCCTGGTAGGTTCATTTACCAGTTGATGAAGGAAATTGTCCTCTATACACTCCAGGAAATTCTTAGACTGTCTCTTCTCTGCAGTATTGAGCTCCCAGCAGATATCTGGCAGGTTAAAGTCACCTACAAGGACAAGGGCTGACAATTTTGAGACATCCGCCAGCTGCTTGTAGAATAATTCATCCTCTTCATCATCCTGGTAGGGCGGTCTGTAACAGACACCCATGATGATGTCAGTCTTGTTGGTCTTCCCCCTGATTCTGGTCCACAGGCACTCAACCTTATCGTTGCTGACCTCAATGTTAACTTGGGAAAGCACTAAATGGAGTGGGACTTGGTCAGAAGTAAATATTTAATTTCTGTATCCTGCCTTGTTATTCCCACGGTACACCCAGAGATCTGTGTTATGATTTTTGTCCCTAGTGCAGGAAGAATGGTGTTCCTGAGCTGGGGGAACAAAACATTGCTCAAATTCCACATTCCTATCAGGTCTAGGGAGGAAAAGTCCCATAATCTGCTTTCTCGGTTTTGTTAATGCTCTTTCATCTTCAAATACATTGTTAAATTTCTTAAATTGTGAAAATACATTCAACAGTTATGATTCAAAAACCTTTTGCATTTTTTGGGAGGGGGAGGGCAAACTTGGACTTTTGTGATGGTACAGACAGATGGTGTCCTTTAAGAATCTGGTGAGATTATACAGCTTAGAAAATCTATTACTTTAAGTATCTAAAAGAATACACAGTTGCTGAGGTTTTGAAACTGCTCTGTCCTAATATCACAACATTCTTGCAGTGAAGGTTGATCCCATTTATGGTCATGTAGTGTGTGTCCAGATAAACACTAAAAGTGTAGAATATTGGTTTTACAAACAAGGTAAGAAGAAGGACTCCGTGGCAATTTGAGCAATGGAGAAACAATTTTGTGGATAGATTCCTGAATCACTGACATTTTACATTTTCTCTCAGGAATATTCCACTAAAATCTCCTAAAGTAATCCCTAAAACCACATGGTATTTTTAAATGAATATATGCATAAAATAAAAAAAAAGAAATTTGTATTTCTGTAACACCTAGGAATTCCAGACATGAATGATAACCCAATCATAATAGAAATTACTCTAAATATGAAGCAATATGACAGCGTTCTTGGTCACGAAGATTTTGCAATTTAGTTATTAGGAAAAAGAGAGGTAGATGCAGAGAGAGAAAGAGATGGTATTTATGAAGATGTGGCTACTATAGTGAGTGTAAATCCCAGAATCTCAGCAACTAAACTCCGGCCATGATAAGCCTGTCCTGACAGATAGTTTTGGAGAGTGACTGAAAGAAGGATAACATTTAAAATGGCCTACCTCACATGTTTGTAAAGGATAATTCAGACTTCAAGACTAGTGAGGAAGAAAGCATTCTGAAGCATGAGTTGAAACTCAGATAGACAAAGTATTATGGAAGAATTATCAGAGCAAAGATAGGAACCAGCTTCCTTGAAAACCAGGAGAGGGAACAAAGAGCTTCTCCAACATCTGAAACCAATCTTTCATTAATAAAGCTATGGGATGAGAAAAGTCCAAATAAGTTTCAATTGTTCAAGAAGACTGAACTATTTTAGGGATAACTGAGGGGAAGAATCATCCAGTTTTACACACTGCATGGATATTAGGACCCTGAGAAGACCAAAGGTAATACATGAATGAAGAGCTGATTAGTCATCAGTCAGGATAACTTGCAAGAAACACATACAGCTGTGGTTTGTTTATGGTAGGAGACAGAGAACATTATCAATGAGGTGGATAGGTCAACTGGCCAAGATTTTAGTTTGGCCAGAAAACAGATCTGGAATGAAGAGGAAAATGTCTTATTCCATCCATGCACATTCAGTTAGCAACTAAATGTTTCTCATCTAAACTAGATGCAAAGCTGCATAAATGTAACCTCTATATACACCTAAAGGTGTTGAGACAAAAGAGGCTAGTGTGTCCATCAGGTCTCTTTCCACTGAGCTATGATCCTGATGTATTCAATAGCCACACCTGCCTGACCATCATTGCACTACAAACCAAACTTAAAAAGGAAAGGGTAGAAACTGGGAGAGGAGCTTAGAGAGAGTGTGCAGGAATTGCCTACTATTAATTGATCCTGACTTAGAAAGCTACAAGGCAGTCTTGAACTGACACGAGAGACTTCAGCGTCTTGTGGTTTAGGTCAGGCTGGGCTAAATGCAAACATTAATTATTATGCAATAATTGGATATGTGGGAAGGAGTGTGGCTATTTATCACCTTTATTAAAGGGTGATTAATAATGCAAAGGACACTACAAAGTTACAGATGAGTGGCTATCTCTACTTCCCCTTTCCTTGCTGACAGGACCAGCGGTTGTCAGTAATCAGGAGTAACATTAATTGTGCTGGTTCGAGCTACACAAGCTGTCTCTGTTACTGCCCTTCAGATTGAGGTAGATGAGTTTTATGAGGTAGAGAGGACCATTCAGTTTGGCTGATCTTTACTGGTTGGTGGTCTATTCTAAAGCATTGCTTAATGATGGGTATAACAAGTCACTGGGCAAGTATTCTTGTATTAGGTTAGTTCTGCTACTTCTACCAATCATGTTTCTCGATAACACTTACCTGATTTTGCTTTACCTGACAGAAGATACATCTCTGACAACTACATAGCAAGATAATGAAGATTGAACTGTGAGTTTCTGACATCAGTGTGACTACTTGAAAGACAAGAGCTGAGGAGGCAACTGAAGACTGTAAGGGCCTTTGCTTATGACTTGGGAGACAGAACCTGCTGTTCTGGCCTAAATAATCCTCACCCACCTTCTGCCCCCTCTTTGTTCTGTAACAGAAGACACCCCAGCATTGTCTTCTTTTCAGCAGAGAATAATTAGAGGCTACAGCAAAGCCACAAGGAGGGTTTTTTCTAGGTAGAATAGACTTGATAGAGGAAGACATCTCTAAGGTGGGAAGGAGGCAGTCGTGGAGACTTTGGACAAAAGTTGCAAACTTCCAAGAACATGAGGATCCACCCCTGGGGAGGAAAAGATGGGAACAGGTGGAGAGGAGGGAAAGAAACTGAGTACAGCCCCCCCTCCTTGCCAGGTCTGCCAACAGATCCATCCCTGCTGACTTCTCCCAGACTCCCTCCCTATCCCTACATGGATCTCCCAGGTGTCTCACAAATACCTTCTGAGATTTCCCTTACCATTCCCAGGAACCTGCTCCACTGCCACAAAAGCCAAAAAATGGCAGCTGCTGCCAAGGAGCTTTAAGCTGCAAATTCCTGACAGCATTCCAGCCTGGAGCCTTGCCCTAGGCGAGTTCTGAAGAGCTTTAACCCAAACTCACTCCCAAACAAGAAATGCTATTGTGTGACAGCTGTAAATCAAGTGTACTATGGCTCTCCTCTCCTTTACTATGTTTTGTCCTCTCCTGCTGACCTCGTACCAGAGTATGAGGGACCTCAGGCATCAGCATCTACAGATCCCAGCAGCTGAACTGCCTTTATTGCTTGTCTCCACGTTCCAGTACAGCTTGCAAATTACTTCTAGAAATACCACAGATAAAAGAATTAAATAAACAGGTCTGCCATGCTAAGCAAAGAACACTGACACACTCTTCAGCTTCCCACAGGTCCTTCTGTCCCTAGGTAATATCTTAAACTATACCGTAATAGTACACCTCTGTTCTGTCTTTACACTCCATGCTTGTTCACTTCTGCTCCTCTCCATTGCTCTCTGCTCTTCTCCTCCCCTATGAATCCTCCTCTTGCATCTTCCAGCAGTTGCTGTGTCTATGTATGCCAGTCAGGTTCCCTTTTCCAGAGCCCTTCAAATAACCTCAAAATTGTCAGGAAACAGCACTATGTAGTCATAACAAGCAAAAGGTAGATGGCAAGATGCTACCAAGTGTTCCATACTAGGTTGTTTGGCAATCACGCAAAGACAGAGATTCTGCCACATCTCAGTTCCTTCAGCACTTGAATTCTGCCTGATCAACAGCACGTGACACAAGTTTATATCTGTTACTGCAGCTAGTATGAAGTATCTCACAGGATTTTCCAGCAACACGCTTCTCCACATACCCAACCACCTTGTTTTGCTGTGTATATATTTTTCCCACCCACACTTACAACCTGATTATCTCTCTCCAACATCTTATCATAGCTGATTTACTGATAAATTAAATTTACCTAAATTAATCTGAAGGCCAACATGCACCCTTAGCTCTCTGCAGTAGATCACAACTTCTTCTTTGTTCTTATTTTTTAAGGATGCTATACAGAGTTGCACCCCTTTTGCTGAGCAGCAGCTGACTTGCCACTTGCTTAACAGTCCTTGTTTTGCTTACACTAAAAAACATCATGTAAGATTCAGGCAAATTATTAAGTGGGACCAGTTTTTTGGGTTTTTTTTTTTTTACTGTGTGCTGCAGCCTATTTTGTCGCATTATTTAATGACATCTTTATAAATCCTGTCTACTTTGGTGCTGTATGTAGCCTACCAGGTATTGAATGCAACATACAAAAGCAAGATACCAAAGCACTTGTGATACAGTCTCCCCATAATGACCTGTTTTCTCTTTGTTTTCCTTTTTTGATGTGGGTATTTGGATAACTTAGAAATTAAAATGAGATCCTGCTCTATGTGACCATTCTTATCCAACAGAATGAAAAGGGTACCCCTTATCCTTTATACTACTGTGTGCTTTGCTGTCTCATGAGCACATCTCCTTTAATTTATCTGTTATAAATCCCAGTAGGTGCTATTCATTACGGACTAGGGATTGTGCAAATGAGTTATGATTCCCTTGGAAAAACAAACCCAAAACAAGACACCAGTCAAACACATGGACACAGCTTTTAGATAAGTAATGCTGGATTTGCTCCAGGGGCTTCTGCTCTGTGTTAGGACAAGTTAACCCAGTAGCTGCTTGGTGTTCTGTATTGCTCAGGACAAGAAGCTGTGAGTGCTCCTTCTTGACAGCGTTGCCTCGTGAATGGTTGATGACTCCATTTCGGTCCTTAAATTTGGTATGTACTTTTCCTGGATGCTGAATTGTATGAATTGAAAAGCAGTGTGTGACTTACAACTCCTAACAGAATAATTATTCATAGGATGCAAGAGAAGTTGAGGTAGAGAGTATGTGTACCAGAGCAAAGATGCACATCTTTTATCTTTGAAATAAAGACCTAAGGAAATAGCACTAGAGATATTTTTCTCTGTCTACTTGGGAGTCAGGCACGATTTCAGTTCTTGTGTTAAAATTATTCCTTTCCTTACTACAGACCACGAATTCCAGAGAAACCAGAGGAGCATAGCATTTTAAGTGGTTATAGAAAGTAAAACAGTCCCATGCAAGCATGGCAGAGAGTATAAATCAACTCTGAAAACCATGGAAGAGGATGTGTCATGATTCCACTCTCATCCAGTGAAATCTGTCATCTAATAAGTGAGAATTGTTATCTGAGGGTGCTGAAAGTCTGATTTCCCTGGGAAGTCCTTCTCTATCCTCTAATTAGCTGGCCATTAGGAAAGAGGTGGACAACAACCGTCTCTGCTGTTTTGCATTCTTATCTGGAAATAGCCCTGCACTGAGCTCAGTAAGCTTCCATGTATGCTAAAGATGCAGCTGCCTTCATGAAGCCATTCCACATAGCATTAAAACAGTGTCACAAAAACGGTAGGTGTCTGCATATGCTCAGATGATGAAGAGGTGATGAGTGCTTTACATGGATTTGCTTTTTTGGAACACAGTGCTTAATCCCCCCACCTAGATCATTCTCTAGGACCAGTACATATATATGCATACCTATAGGATCTAAGCTTTATCACAGGTATTTTAGGCAAGAATTTATATTAAATGTCATGCTGGTATTTACTGTAAGAGTCACCTCTGGACTTAAATTTTATGCTAGCTATTGAACAGTCTATTTTTCTGGACTGTGAGGATTAAAAAGGCAACACTGAAAAGTGAGAGATAACTTTTAAAAACAAAGATAATCCACAAACTGGGCAATTTGGCTGATGAGCTTCCCCCTCCATTATAGAGGATTGTAAAAGGACATTCTTCTTAAGTTCCCTGCCCTTTATGACATCACATCACACTATACTTCATCCCAAACCTAAGAGTAGTTGCCCAAACAAGCCAATATTTAAAAAATAGACTTTGTTTTATACGTTTAGATGTTTCAGAAAGAATAAAGTAAAATTTTTCACTGCCTTTAGGAACATTGTACATTGGAAATACTGCGTAAAATTCCTTCTAATGCTATTTTGAACACATTCTTACAGCCTTCTTTGGTGTCCCCTGCCTTTTGATATGTGGTCCCAAGCTACTAACAAAGTATCAAGATGCTAGTCATCCAGCTTTATCACATCAGGAAAGCTACAGTTCAACAGTGTTTTAGAAATACCAATAAATAACATGGAAAACCCTCCCTTTAAACCTCAGTGATGGTAAATAACCCCTCCAGTCTTCATAAACAGATCGGTCTGTTCTATTCTGCTCCCTTCATTTCAGCACACAAGAGTTCCCCATACTTGAATTGCAAATGAGTGGCATAAATGTTAAAAAATGTTTCTGCATGTTATTTTCATTGGCATCAGTCTCGGCAGTGTTTCGGAGACGGAAGAGCTTTCGCAAGCCACAGCAGGGCTGCAAGGAAACACGTATTTCCCCAGCTGGACTGCCAGAATGGAGAATTAGTTTTATTCGAGCCCTTCATTTTTCCCTGCAAACCCTGCTGGCCTGGCTAGGGATCTGGCTCTTAAGAGACCACCAAGTACCACTGCAACCATCCCCCCCTTTATACTCCCCTGTGGTCATCAGCATCCTCTGTGTTTGTCTCTGGCAAGCTGGAAGAGACTTTTCTAAAGGCTGCACAGGATGTTTATTGCAAGTGCTAACCAGGCAACACTGTGGAAGAAACTGATGTGGGCAAAATACACACACCTGAGCCCCAGTGCATGTCGAGACAGAATGTGCAGGTAGTGACTTTCTGTATAGCATAGCTTAGAAAACAAACTGGGTTGGCCGCCTAAGCAGGGCTGTGAAATCAAGAAGATGACTGCTTACACATCTGAACTACTGGTGCTACACCAGAGGAGAAAACTGGGAAGTTAGCTTATATTCTTTGAGAAATTCTGTGTGTTGGAGGCACATTTGGTTAATCAACATTTACCTGTATTCTGTAACCTAGGGAAATTTCTTCAGGGTGAGGAGCCCAAGTCTGCATCTTTTGGCATACTAAAGCCTCCCACCGACTGCCTGGAGGGCTATTAGGTACAACACACGAATAGTGAAGCATTTTTTTTTCCTTCAGGAACTGTGCTGCCAATTGAAGTGCTAGGGATACAAAACCACCTCAGAATTCAAAGTTTGTCGTAAAAACAGGACAAAACAACTTTCTAAGAAAACAGATGTGACAGCTACCATGCTGTGTTGCTTTCTGGGGCCTACTGGTATAGCCTAACAGCCCGGAAATGTACAGAAATACCCACAGTAGAGCCAGGGCCACACTTCTGACACGACCTACTGTTCAAAGAGCCTAAAGAACACAGATCTGATCATCAAAATGAATTAAAAGGTGATCTTATCCTTCATTCCATGAAAAAAAATCATTTGTAACTCCATTTCTGTGAGGAAAAGGTTAAATCTGAACAGCTTCTTGTGCAAGTTCTTAATTTTAAACACAATTAGTGTCCATTGGTATCTAAGACTAATTCATGCAACAGCAGCTGCAGCAATGATTTTTTTTTTTTTGCTGCCTCAAAAAAAAAACCACTGAAATGTGGAATAAAGCTATGTCAAAGGTAAAATAAACAAACCATAACAGCCAGTGCCTGCCAAGAAAATAAGATCCAGCCCTGAAATCCTTCATACTGTTGGACCCCTCAGTCTCTGGTTTTCACATTTTCAGCATGTACAGATTTTTTTCTTTGTGAACTCAAATGTCTGCTGGGACTGGGAATAGAAGAAAAGTTATGGTTAAACCCTTCTGTCCAACCTCATTCCTTGAATAATCAGAAGTGAAAGAAGTAAACTAGTAAGTCTCTCTCTTTTAGCAGTCAGAGTATTTCAAAATAAATTGTGGTTAATCTATAGCAACAGAACCGTCCATTTCTTCCAGGCAGATGAAATATAAAATATGCAGTAATGCTCAAAGCACTTGCTAATTATTTAACAGAGGGATTTTCCACACAAAACACATTTCAAAAATGAAAAGCTTCACTAGTCCTGACCAGAACGTTTAAAAGAAGACTTTTATCAGCGATAATTTAAATCAGAGGACTGCAGTAATCCCGTCTTGTAGCCTGAATGCAGCTGAACTCTACAGTGTTAAAGATCCCTCTGCAAAATGACAGTATTACATATCAGTAGTCAGAAGTAGGAATGATTTCTAAAGATTGGCCAGGATGAAGAAGAGTTAAGTCTAGGAGGGGATTTCCAGAGGAGTTCTGCCTTGTCTGAGCTTCAGTTATTCACATACCTCCTAGTTTCCCTGTGCCTCAGTTTGTCCAGCTTTAACTGCAATCTTTGTAGACCCTGTAAAACTCAAGTTGAGCTGCTGCAACACACCATGATTTCCAGGGAGTATCATTTACAGTAATATTTTATTGCTCATCATCCAACATCCTCTTTCCTTAAACATCCTAAAATTTGGAGTTTGGTTTTTTGTTTTTATTGGGGGGGGGGTTTTGTTTGGTTGGTTTTAGGGTTTTGTTTGTTTGTTTTTTTTGTTTTGGTGTTTTTGTTCATTTGTTTGTTTTTTTCCAATGGAGCTGCACCCAGCTGTCCTTATCTTTCTCTTCAGAGCTGATGTCACCACTTCAGCACCATCCATCCATCTTCCCCAGCAGTGTATGCTCCTTTCCCAGGGCTGCAAATTTCACCTGCCATTAATTTTGTTCATTCAGCACAGTTGTTTACAAGGAAAAAAATAAGACTTTGAGAAAATGTTGGCATAACTACTAGCCTTGTTTCTCCAGACCTTTCTTAAGTAGATGTGTAGGACAAAGTGAGGAGAGGTCAGGAATTGCAGTCTCCCGGGGTCATATGAAGAGAATTAGAAAAAACTATTGATGATCAAAAATTGAACAGATTACAAGTTCAGTTAACCTAAAATTAAAAAAAAAAAAATAAAATAAATAAAAAAAGAAGACTGGAGGTACACATACTGATAGTCTTCAAAATGCATAAATTTTATGGTGAAAAGGAAGGGAATGACCTGTTCTCTAAATGGATAGAAATAATGGAGTTAAACTGCACATAAGGAGTTTCTAATTGGAGGCAGCGGAAGACTGTCCTAAGCTAAGGAAAGCAGAGCACTCAAAGGGATGATGCCTGGGGAGGTTATAAAATTTCATCCCTTATTTGTATAATTCGGATATTTACCAGGAAAGAGGTGGGGAGATTGGATCCTGCTTTATAGTAGTGAAATCGTAGGATGGACTATATGAACTCTTCACATTCCTTTCTGTTCCAGTAAGTTTATGCCATAACTGTGAAGTCCAAAAAGACCCATTCATCT